TAGAATGTATTTTCCGATTCTACTCTTATGGTCTTGAAAACAAGTTTAAGACTAACTTATTCAATGATTTCCAAAATTTAACTTATCAAGACTACAAGGCAAACAACTTGACCTATGGTCTTGAAAAGTTATGGGCTTACTTACATTATCGTAAGGATAAGAAAACAAGACCAGTCGAATCTATGGGATTATTGACTGAATTGAAGTCTCTTTTTGAAACTAAATTCACAAGCATGGATGATTTCCGTGCTACTCGTCCACCTGCTCCGTATCGTCATTCCGGTCGTAAACCATCTGTGGACGTGTCTGCTCAATCTTAAACCTTCATAAACTGCATACTCAATTTTTTTTTACTTTAAAAAAGGTTTTTTTTACAAAATATATTTGATTTTAACATTAATCTCAATGGACCCTCTTTTGAGCTTTGAATTCATATTTTAAACTTTTAGATTGTTCTGGTCGATAATGATCATTCCAAGTACCAGGAATTGATTTTTTAAGTTTTTCAATATGTCTTGATTGATTCAGTTTTGTTTCTTGAACAATTTTACGTAACTCCTAAAAGAAAATCAATATAAAAAACCAAGATACATCTGTTTGAGCCATTTGTAAATACAATTCTTCGCGTTCCGTTTCCGCAATTTGTTCTTTCAAAAGTTGTATCTGTTGATTGATTCTATTCTCTTGTTTTTCTCTTTCCAATTTTCTTTTCAATTCCATATCATTCTGTATTTTTTTCAATTCACGTCGTTCTTCCAATAACGTTTTTCGTTGTTTCTTTATATATTCATCCATCAATCCTTTTGTTAACTTTAACGAGATTTTTTAAAAAAAGTTGTTTGTTACCTGTTGTTCAAAAAACTTTTGTTTTCGTATTTTACGTTGTGTTAAATCATTGATCGTTTCCATTTTATGAGTCATATGTTTGATACTTCGGAATCGATCATGTAATTTTCGTTGAACATTTTGTAATTCATTTTGATGTTGTCTTATTTCATTCTAGAATAATCAATATTTGTTATTGAATGATTGATTGTTTTGATTGATAGGGTGAATGATGTGGACTTACCAGTCGTTTGGAATCTCGAAGTTCTTTGATGAGTTGATCTAATGGTGTGGTATCACCCAATTCTTGTAAGTATTTTTGCTATATTCATGTTAATCAAAATAAACATATACCATATTCACTTTTTGTGTCCATAATCGATCATCCAATGATTTCTTTGTTAATTTCAATTGATTTTTCCAAACTTTTTCTTTTTCAAATTTTGGTATGTTATCTGTTAAAGGTATTGTAGTTTCAGCCATTTCAAAAAACTTTAAAAGATTCTTTTCAGGTATTGATATATCATCCTGATAATGTGAAATATCAATTGGTTGTTTCACTTCTCCAGCTTTCATATATGATTCAATTAAATCAAGTTCACGTTGATCTAATTGTAACTTTGAATCATCCATTGTATCAGGTAGTTTATGTAATTGTTGGTTGATAAATAAATCAAGCTCGTTCAAGTCTATATTCTTGGTATGTCTAGATATACGATGATTATCCAAAATTATTTTTTCAGTTTCATTTGGAAATTTCTTTTGATGTTGAACATGTTTCAACTTTTTTAATTTAATTGACTTTTGATCTTGTAATGAGAGTTTTAGGGATTTCAAGTAAGGTGATTGATGAATCTTTAAATCTATCTTTTCGTCCTAACCAATTAAAAACATCAGCAACTTACTTTTAAATCAAATTGAATTTGGCGTTTCTTTCTCATCGGATTTGTTGTAAATGATTCATCAAGATCAAGATCATCGTCTTTTACATTTCGAAGCCATTGTAAGATGTTTCCATTTTTTGAATCTTTTTGACTTTGCCTACTTTGTCTCAATAACGGATGAACTTTCTTTGTAAGGTTTGAAACAAAAGGTTGATCGTTATCAGTACTTTTTTGTTTGGTTTTCTTCAAGATAGAATTTAATGGTATTTCAACTTTGTTTTGATTTTCACTTGTATAACTTGATGTCAAATTTGGAATATGATATTCAGAAAATTGTTCAATAAATGATTGTGAATCAATTTCACTGTTCAACTTTGGTGATATATCGACACTTGAGTTTTCTTCAATACTACTGATAGATAAAACATGATTCTCCTTGATTGATTGATATGATGGTTTATCAACTCCATTATCTTCATGTCCAACATTCATTGAATCATTTTCTTTCATGGAGTTCAATGATTTTGTCTTTTCATCTATAGATTTAATGTAATCTTTGATACGTTTTAATGCTGCAATGAATACTTCCCAAAACAGATCCACTAAACCAGCAATAACATTTGGTTGTCTATCCATTATTTGTTGAATATCATAGAAATCTAAATTGACATCCCCCATTTCTTCCATCTTATTAATCAAGATTTTTAAATTATGCTCAACATCTCTTAAACTTCTATCTAATCCCTTTAACTTTGAGTTTGTAATCTTTTCGAATAGAGATGGCTATTGATATTATTGTATTGAAATTGAATACCCATAAAGTTGGAACACAGTGTGAAATCTGCTCTACTTGAAGGTTAATATGATAGTGATTCAATATAACATTGATCTTTCCAACTACAATTAGCTTAGAAAGTACTTACCAGAATTCTTTGTTTTCATTGTTGTTTTTACGTGGTTTTTTGTTTGATTTTCAAGTTGAGATTTTGATAAGGCCAAACGTATAGTTTTACTAAATATAAAGCAATTGATTGGACTCTGATCAAGTCGTTGATTGGATTTATGGTATTCAAAGACACTTTGACTCGGTGGTCAGTTTGCTTTTTTCTTTGATTATTTTTAACGAATCAAATGTCAATTACCCGAGGTATTCAATCAGTTAGTTAATAGAAAGATGATCAAATAAGAGTTCGAAAACTGCTACAAACAAAGGTAGGATTCTTGCCATTGGAATTAATCGAAACCATATTCGATATTGCGGAATATTGGGTTCTGGAATTCACTGCTAATGAAAAAGAAGTCAGTGAATGTAATATAAATTTATTATATCTTTGTTCTCAACCTATTGGACATTTCGAGGTTATGAAGGTTATAGTGGAAACTTGCAGTCATGACCAAGGTTGGGCATCTGGAGTAGGAAGTTATACATGGTCGGAAATCGGGATAATGACAAGAAATGATGATGAAAAATTACGGATTCCTTTGTATTATAACAATCGAGCAGATGCCTCTGATCAAGAAAGAACTTTTGAATTTCAAAAACATGATCAGTTGATTAAAGGATTGGATCATGGTGATCGTATCGCTATTTGGGTAAGGGCAATGTATCCTGGATGGTGTCACACAATCTCTTATGCAAGGATCAAAGTATATTGTAGATAATGAATAAATCAATCAATCAAAGTATTTTATTCAATTACAAGTTCTTTGAATTAGCCGCTCCATCATGTACTTTTCCATCATGAACTTTTTCAATTTTATACTCTGCTACACCAAACGCTGCGATACCCATAGCAAACATGACCCAAAAACCGTTGTTGAATGAACTATATCCATCGTATCCAAGATTGTTGATCAGCTCCTTGCCAAGGTAAACATTTACAAGACCCAAGACCATTAAACTTCTACCCCACCACCAATGAAGAACATCCCACCTAATATTAAATATAGACTAATTACCAAGGGATTGACGTTCGTTCCATTGAAAACAATCTATCGCAAATAATTCCCAAAATGACTTGAACAAAAGTTCCAACAATCAATATCCACCCGATAATCGCATGTGATTTATTATCGTCGCTTATAGTAAAATACAGATTGACTGTAATAAATCCTGCAAGAGTACACCCAAATACAATTGGTCCCATAAAAAGTATATGCAGCTTGAACCAATGATGACCCAGAATTCCCTTCAAATATCGAGCAATAAATATACCAATGAATGGAGCTACAGCCCAAGCAATAAACATCAAGACGGCGTGTGCTAAAATCACGGTTTTCATTGAAGTTCCAGATGAGGAATCAGATGTGGTGGAATCTGTAGGATTCAATGGCTGTGAATTTGTTTGGTCGTCAGTTGGTAGTCCAGAAGTATTTGTTCCATTAGTAGTTTGGTTTGCGATGACAATTGTAAAATCAAATTTAAAATTACCAGCACTACTATGCTTACTGAAACTGGCCGAGATTGAATCTACATTCGTTGTCGGGTTTGTTTTTGCACTGGCATAGGAAAACACTTGTAATGGAGTTATGGACTTGCCGTTTGTACTAATGATAACCGATCGACAGAACGAAAATGACAATTTAGACCAATCAGGCTGCGCTTCAATTAATGGGACTAGAATCCCATTTTGTTGTGAATTAACTGGTGGTAAAAAGTACCCACCGCCTGCTCTATTGGATAATGTGATTCCACCTGTAGAATTTTTCCAACCCATATACATATCCGAGTTGGTCATTGTTTTTGAACCCACTCCCATAGCTGCCCATCCTGTATTTGCGCTATGTACTGTAAAACATAATTGAGTATCAGACGCGCCTGTGCTACTACTAATACAAAATTGATTTGATAAAGGACAAAACGACTTTGCTTCGGAAACCGCGAGTAAGAATAGGAAAACTAGCATCGTTTAAATAAAAGCTTCACAAAATGTAATGTTTAATAACGTACAATGAAAAAAAACAATGGGTGCTCGTTCGTGTTTATATATAGATTCAATCTCAATTTACTTCGGGATGAGCTTCATCACACTAGTTGGTAGTGAGATGAGTTATTTATATGGTAATTACAATATTAACCAATATTAAATTTGAAAAAACAAATGAGATTGATGGATATAACAATGAAGCCAAATATTTGGTATTCAAACAATACCATTATTGCTTTAATGAAGTTGAACTTGTAACATAATAAATCTATTGGCTCGTAAAAATACATTATTTTAGGTGCTTTGTTTACATCGAACCAGGAAATAATGAGAGGAAAAAACGAGAAAATGGGGAAAAAGAAAGCTCCGAATCCGGGGTTCGAACCCGGGCAACCTGCGTGAGAGGCAGGGATCCTAAACCACTAGACTAATTCGGATCTGATAATTTTGTCAAAATTTCATATATAATGAATTCAGTATAGATTGTATTGAGTCATGCTGTTGCTTATTTTAAACCTATTTGAACCATCTAAATATTAAAATGATAGAATATATTCAATTATAAATTACTCTAGGTATTTTGTAAGGGGTTTGGACAACAATGAATAATAACCAAAGAGGTGTCTCTATGTCTGTAGAATGTTAACTGTTACAAAATCTATAAAGAAGAAATTAATATGTATAGATCCAGAGGTTCACAATTCACAGTTGAATTTGGTTAAGATGGTACACAAGCGCCCTTTTATTATAACTAGTTGAACTCAAATTTAATTCCCATGCAAATGATACTATGTATTCATTACAAGCATAAATAATTTGAGGTTAGTTAAAAACACATCCTTCAATTTGATTTTAAATAGAATAAAATAGGTAATGACAATCGCGTCCTCGACACAATTACTTACACCACTGATTAAAAGAATGAATTCAACAAATTCTCTTCCTTTGTAACTTTTATGTCTTTATCCGTTTCGTAGTCGCTTAAATGACCTCAAAATGGTATTTTTTTTATGTTCTTTCAAAAACAGAAGGATGAAATGATACCCAAAAAGCCTACAAATACATCAAAACCTAACAAAAAAATCATAGTACCCAGAAATTATCACGACTGCTCACCAGAAATACTAGTCAAATTAGTCATTGACTTGTTCAATAATTTACTGATTCATAATGATACTTTAAATCATATCACTACCTTGTCAAACGTCACCAGATTTCATTCTAGGTCCATTCCTAATATATCTATTCATGACTATTTAACAAGAATATTCAAATATGTTGTTGTGGAAAATTCAGTTTTGATTATATTGTTGATTTATGTGGATCGAATCTGTGAAGCATTACCGAATTTCACTATCAGTTCTTATACAGCTCATAGGTATAATATATTACCAAACAATACTAAATATTCAAGATTCATCATTGCAGCTGTTACTGCTGCTAGCAAATCTATATCAGATGTTTACTCAACAAACGCTTATTTTGCAAAAGTTGGTAATGAAATTATCTAATCAATCTTAGGTGGGATATCATTAACAGAAATCAATTTAATAGAATTAGAATTTTGCAAATCTCTAAACTGGAGATTATGCTGTTCAGAAGCTACTGTTCAACAATACTATTTGAATTTAGCTAATTCCAATTGTGATATTAGTCTTCCGGATACTGTTCAATTTGTTCCTTACAATACACTGGATCAATATCTAGACTATATAAAACAAGATGGAAAGAAAGAATGACACCAATCCACGAATCGTTTTATTTAATCAATATCATATATGGACTGGCTTCAGCTTTATCTTGTATTTAATATAATCAGTCGTTAATTGAATTTATCTTGTGTTTAAATTAAACTATGCGATTGAATCTAATGAAATTATACTAAAGAGAATACTACACAGCATTAGATCTAGTTACCTATTTGCCATTAAACTCTGAATCGATTTCAGACTCGCAAGAATCTAAAAACCATACCCATCAAATATCTTTCAACTCATTGTTATGGCATTGGCAGCATGGAGAAACCCAAATGATAGAACAATAAGGCCTTCAAAGCAGTTTATATTCATTCTGGACACGTAACAATCAACACTGGCTATATCATTTGTTGACCAACTGATACAATTGATACATTGTAAAGATAACTAAGTTTGTTGAATAGGACTATTTGTGTCAGTTAAGGTCTTAGCGATCGTGAATAAACGCAGTAGTATGGAATGCATGGTAGTAATAGGATAAACAGCCGAACGATCATAAATGCTGAAATCAATGGAATAACTTCTGCAAATCACATCTCCATTACTTGGATATCAGATGATCACGAATCGTTTCACTAAAGTAAATGCTAAAGTATTTTAATTTAAAAATACACATGACTGAAGAAATACATTACAAACCGGTTCAGAATCAGATGAAAACCCAATTCATAGTTCAACGTGTACAAAAGAATCGAACATTCATTCTTTCTGGCTGTATTTTTTTTGTAAATTTCTTTGATTTCCCCTTTGTACCTTGCCATCACATGAGCATGTCACTTGGTATTTTTAAGATGATCAATGAATATCACCGTTACCAAATCAAATTTCATGAACTAATAGTTAACCTATAGATGCATTTAATTTCGATTCAAATCCTTTTCGATGGGACTTCAATACAATGTTTTGCATCTCTGACGGAAATTAACATGTACCGTTAGTCTGAGCACTTGATAAATTAAACCATATGTAGGCTTGATGTCTTTGCACATCTTGGCTCTATTTCTTTTGTCAGGTGGAAGGATTTGTAGAGCCATGTGATCATGGAACGTAACCATGCACAATGGAACGTTGAGAGAATTCGGATATAATGTATTTCCTGGCCATCAGGTGATTAACTCATGACCAATACATGCGGTTTGGTGTAGGCCACCGTTGCATGGTCTTTGTTCCATATTTCTATTTAAACGAATAGATAAGTGTCCATTTCTGTTCAAAAACAAAAATATGATATCATCTGCAAGTTATGTTCTCCTCTTTGCCATTTCTGTCCACAGTCTTGCTGCCGATGTATCTGCCATTCAAGACTCTGGCTTTGAAAAATCAGTTGGACCTTTAGCTTGCGTGATCAAGTATAATCAATGTGGTGGAAAAAACTATAAAGGAGAAACATGTTGTGAACCTGGTACTGTATGCACTCTTGTTAATGAGTACTATTCTCAATGTCTACCAGGAACTACTCAACCACCACCACCTCCTCCTCCTGCATCCGGCAATTGTGCTACTGGCCGTGTATTGTGGTCTGTCGATATGTCCAAACCGTTCAACTCCAAGGGTGAATGGGAGTACGATACGAGCAATTATAACCAAGAGAAACAAATCTACGTTCCTGAAGCTCAAGCTGGTGAATACATCAAAACTCAAGATGGAAAACTATTGGTATCTGCTAAACGTGATGGATCTGGTGGTTGGAAAGCAGCAAGAGCAGTACTCAAGAAAGGGTGGGGTGTCAATTACCGTGCCGAAGTCACCCTTCAGATGGATAAAGCTGTTCCTGGAGCGTTCCCTGCCATTTGGATGTTACCAACCATTGATCGAAAAACACCAGATGGAGTCTGGCCATTAGAAGGTGAAATCGATATTTTTGAATATCAATCTGAATTTGCTGGATCACCTACCCCACAAACGCTTCACTTTGGGGAACGTAATGGTGGAAATGCATTATCATTCAAAAACTGTCCCATCAATCCTACAGGAGTCAATACATTGGCAGTAGAATCCAATCCAAATTATATCAGATTTTTTTGCAATGGGCAACCAAATGGTCAGTATAATCGTCCAAACCCTTCATCTCAGTTTAATTGGCCATATTCAGGAAAGAATGAATTTGGTTTTATCTTGAACTATGCTATTCAACCTGGTTTTGCTAA